TAATCTGGATTACCCAAAATTATCCTGAACTGTGCCTTTAAGCACTATATTTGTATGGTTATAAGGGATCGCGGCAGCAAAAAGAAAAACAGCGGAAAAAGAATGGGAGAAAAACATCGCCTCATCACACGGCGATTAGCTGATTGTGCGTGGGTCCTAGAACGAATAATAGCAATCTGTATTGTCTCGACACTCTTCTAGCGTGACACCGATCGAGGGGCGGGAAGGCGAACTACGGCAGCAACGGGGCTTCCACTATGCCCTAAGCGCCGAGATTGTGGAAGCGAGAAGGTCCCTTCTACCACCCATGGTGGGCGCTGAGTATTCCTAAAGGAAGAACTCAGTAACCTTTTTTATCGTGAACCTTGCCTTTAAGCAGAAACGTGCGATGTTAATAGGGCCGAGATACTTCTATTGTAACCGTGTGTAACGAAGGTGTCACGAATGGATTGTACGCTGCTTAGTTCGCCTGTAATGTGGAGTGACGTCGGAAGTGATCAAATCTGTTGTCCGATTTTCAGCGTTGTAAATAACGTCTCAATCTTCTGCGGTTCCCTTTATGAGACAAGCGAGCTATTTCGAGGGTGGCTTCAATTAATGGACCCTGGAATCGTAAGCCTTGCTTATGCCTGACCCGTTGGAACCAGGGCTCCATCGAATCGTGCAAGTGTTAGCGGTGCCATTTCACTCTGGCATACCTCCGTTTTCTCGAGAATTTCCTAGTCTTGCTATGCTTGCGACAGGGATAGTCTCAGTGACGGTCATTTTCCCCATCCCGTTAGCCCTATCGGATAGGCCAGGCCCGGTTTGATTAAACTGTTCATGGAAATTCGTTCGCAATCCCGCTATTTCAGTGCAGCGCGGTCTGCAGGCTGCTCGAGCTGTTCCCTATTCCTTNCCCCCCCCCCCCCTATTTCCTTACATTATGAAGTCGGCTGTCCTGAATTCGCCAAGGATAGTAAAAACAGTGGCATGTACCTTGACTAACCTCTTCATTACTGCAAAGATGAACTGGTCCTCGGTCACTAGTACAACTACTGAGAAAATCTACTTGCTTGGCCCATTCTTTCAAAGTTTCTAGTTGTGAGTGGGCAATCCGAATCTTGTTGCCATAAATAATTTTACAAAAGCTTTGTCTATTTTGCGATTTAGGAGGGGTTCTCTTCACTTTTTCAGCCTGGACGAGCTCAAGAGGACAATATGCTGATCGAATACTCTGGTGGATTGACGGGTAGAACACTTGTGAGAGTGGTACCAATTGAATAAACTGACGAGATTTCTGAATAAAACTATTTCACTTTTCAAGACTTACTACTCCCAGGATACGTAGCACAGAGTGATCCAGTCTCGAACATAGACAAGTACAAACTTTAGTCGATTCTGAAGGTGATTCGAGCCTTACACGGCAACGTGTGCAGGCTGTTGGCTTACACAATCTGACCGCTCGCACAGTAAACCTGCTCCATTTCAAAGGGTGTGGATACGTACGTGCGTCCGAGGATGCGCGCGGCAAATTGAGCGGCGAAGTGCGTGGTGATTCGAACGATTCTTTCGCCTATCATTGGGGCCCAAATTTGAAATACAGCAGTTTATCACGGTCAACTGATGCTACTAATCTACTCTACTTTAAATTTGGGCCCCATTTCAAAGAGTACCAGTCGACAAGGTCGCTGAATACGCCCTTGCTTGGAAAACTGAAAGCCGTTGAAAGAGTTATTCGAAAGCATTTTTTGAACTCTTAGGCTTTCACCTTGGCTGACATTGGAACTACAGCATCTTGATGTCATGGATGGGGCTCAATCTCACTGGCTCCTTCAATGAAGTATGTGGTACTGTGCAACCTCAGCTATGAACTCTCTATAACCTGCTCCGTCATGAATGTGATAGACACTAGCCTCTCATGTTTCCAAGGCACAAAAATGTTTATTTCCGATTTTGTCTAGCTGAGGTCCTGCTTTATTATGTTTATGATGGGAGTGTAGATATCGGCAGCTGCTCGCAATCCCCAAATGAAGTCCAAATGATTGTAATCGTGAAGTTCGGTGTTTTGCTGAAATTACTAAGCTTTAGGAGCTGGGTACTTATGAAGAAATAGTAAAAAATGAACTGTTTTCAACTCGCTATTGAAAGAATCGCTTGGAACTACCCCAGGCCTTCGCTCTAATCAAAATTGTGATAGAACATAGAGATCATTGGCTCAGAAGAAAACTTACAACGACTGTATGAGAGATCCTCGGCATCAGATAGCCAGAGACGTCATTTGGATCAGCAAGCCAATCTTCATCCCCACTGTAAACATAGATAGGGTTCTGGATTTTGGTGAAATCGTACTCGGGAGGTTCAGCCTGAAACCATTAGCCACCTATGATAATGACGTTCCATATAACGCTAGTGATGTAAGATTATTGAACCAGCGTCAGGCACTGGGAACTTTCTTTATGTAAATACTGATTATTGCAATAATTGTGCTAGCCATAGCATCATGGGCTAGGGTAATGTAGTGAGAAATGACATAGGATCCGGGCATCTAACACGGTTGGTACCCACTCAGGCATATCCTTTGCCCGGTCAACTGATATCAGCCCCGGATTGAAAAGGATTTATCATGGACAATATGCACAAGTGCTCCGGATGTTGAGATGATTACTCCAACCGATGCGACTCTCACTGTATTTTTTACCTTTACACCTTACCTGTCCATACTTCTTCTTGTTCTCTTTCGTTCCATAATCATACATCGCTACCGTACCTCTCTTGACCATTTGTAGCCAATGCATAATGTTCATCGACGACGTGTCTGCAGGTGTGTGAGACAAATAAACAGGAGTTCGGGTCTGTAAATACAATTTAGACCTATCACCACCATCACTTGGGTTTTTCTTCATTTGATCATGAATTATTTTGTATACTGACCGAATGGGGCGGAGGTGGTGTAGTGGCAAGCGGCGCACTATATCACACGCACGGTCAAGGGTTCGAATCTCGGATCGATGCCCGCCTAGGCCAACCAAACCTTCCATCCCTCCGGGGTCGGTGAATTGGTACCAGACTCGTCTGGGAGGATAAAAACACTGACTTGTACAT